CCTTTTCAGAGTGGACTCACCACAGCTTACATTCTCACAACCCAAGAGCACAGACTACTGTTCAACTTCATCTAAACAAAATCCCAGAGGTTAACTCCAAATGACTTTTGTTCGTCTTTGGATCTGCCACAGTGGCCCTGGAGTGGGAGAMCCATCTCAGCAGTTCACAAACTAATTACCATGATTGGTAATTTTCTCCATAGCAGTATCATTGGAGTGAAGAAAGAGCTGTTTCCCCTGTAAAAGTAAACAATAATCTACTGCCCTAACTTACCAAGCCTGTAAAAGTAACCCTTATAGTTATCAAAATATCTTACCATGGTGGATATAACCTGAAAAATATTAGTGGTGTCCTTGAAAACTTCTTTCCTGATGAAGTTTTCTTTGCTTTAATTTGATATTTATAGATTAAATAATATCTTTAAGGGTTAAATCCTGTAATCATTTTCCTTATCCTGTTTTTCCTAATTGGTGTCTGGTTATAGAGTGGTAGAAACTCTGTATTTTCTGGCTTTGTCCTGGTAACTTGTATGATTTAGTTGATCTATTTCTTAAAATGGTGAATTCCTACACATTCATATTAAATAAATCTGCTCTTTTCTTGTAGGTGAGTTTAGAAAAAAAAATGAGGACTTTTTTAGTTGCCCTAATTGCTAGCTCCAAAATCATAAAAAGGCATTTATCCTCCAAGAATCATTGTTTTCTAATCTGCAAAATTGGGTGATAAAACCTGTCTCAATGGTGTTATGTAGACCAAATAAGATAATGTGGTAATGTATATAGTGCARTATCTATGTGCTAGGTGATCAGTGGCTGTTTCTCCATCATTTAATATAAATGAAATCCCAATCATGGCTCCCTACAATATGATGTGATAAACTGATAAGACAAGTGGCATACTGATAAGTATTTTAAGAACATAGTCTATAAATACAAGGTATTATTGTGACTCAGTTACTTTCCTGGCTATATAAAATGTCTTGGTTCTGAGTCCAAGAGTAAACTTTTATATGGAAATGGTAGTATAACTAATACCTCCATATTTACACTGTGTGATTGATACAATGGAATCCATTTCTARTGCTTAGAACAACTAACCCATTGGTCTTTTGTCATAAGTCCAAAAAAAAAAGTGTTTTTTCACCAGCTTGCAAGTATGCAAACAGAATTGCTAATAAGAAATCCTCCTTTTTAAAGATCCAGACATGTCTTCACTGAACAACATGAAAATTAACTTTTTAAAAAAAAAAATTCTATTTGACTATTTTTACTAGAAGATGGGAGTAAACTAACATTCACTCTGCCAAGCATCTCATTGCTGGTCTCACAGAGCATAGTTGTAATATGTAA